CAGCCCCCTGGGGGGGTCAGCCCCACCATTTGTACAATTTTAAATCCCCACCACCTAGGGATGCTTCCAGTCAAATTTAGTTGAATTCCAATCAGTGGTTAAGAAGAAGAAGTCGTTTAAAGAAATTGTTGACGTACGGACGACGGACGCAACGGTATGGCATAATATAAGCTCACCTTGGTCCTTCGGCAAGGGTTCTCCTACCTTGAACGGGGAGGGTCAATGGCACCAGTATGTAGTAGGACGAGGAATAGTGATAAAGATAGTGCTGTCGCTGGGGCTCGAACCCGCGACCCTTGGCTCTCCAGCCCGATGCTCTACTGCTGAGCTAAAGGCAACCTAATCAATGCACATCTTTTACACTGATGTACAGTCAAGGAATTTCTTGGTTCAGAATACATGTGCTGTATTAGATTCTACTTGTTTCTCTCCTGAACAGCTTGAGGAGCAGCAGAAGTTTCTGGCAAAGAAGGTGTGTCATATTGGCCTTGGGACACCAAACAGGCTACACACTCTGGTGAAGTCAGGTAGGCTGGTTCAACTTTCCATGATTAAGTCCTTATGAACAACATTGCCATTTATCACTTAATTGAATTGAGACTAAACCAAATCATATTAAATTCAATTTTAACGTTTTCTTATTGTCTATTGAAAAAAAACATGCTTTGAGTTGCCTTGCTATGAAGTTTTGAATTGCTTCTCTGTGTTTAGAGGTATAGTATATACAGCTGTGTATTTCCAGTAGTTGTTAATTTTTTTCCGGCAGGATCATTACACTTGGACAATGTTGCGGCTGTAGTGTTGGATTGGAACTGGCGTGATATCAAGTCCAAACGTATGGTGGATATCCCTGAGATAAGAGGCCACCTAATGGACTTCATGAAGGACTTTATGATACCACATATGTCTAAAAATCACTGCAAGATTGGGATGTTATGACAGCTGTATAGTTATGATGATTTAAGATTTTTGAACCGAGTAACATTTTCACAAACAAGTAGTTGATCCCATCAACTTGACTCTGCAGGATACCACCCACTTCTTACTCAATCATGGTTCACCAGCATAATAATTAATTTGTGAAAAAGTTATGGAAAACATCGCTTAAAAATATGCAGTTAATAGGGAGAGACATAGGTCTGACCCTTTGTAGAGTCATTCAGAATACTGGTAAATTGTACAGGGACGTTGAGAGGAAAAGTATGGGAGATAGGGTAATCCAGATTTTACGAAGTACATCATATTGTATTTCATAAACGAACTGTATTTTTTTGACAAATGATGTCACTTCTTCCTATATCTCTCATTTGACATTTATTAAAATTCTTCAAAGTTTAGGAATACTTTCAAGAAGGTAAATGTCTACTGTAATCTTAGTCAAAAGAAATAAGAAGAATTGAGATTGTTTATACCAGTGTCATTGAAGTTAATGGATTAGTAAATCTAAAACAGGATAAGGGAGGAAAGTCCATGGTAACACTTCTTGAATTCTGTTTCATAAAAGCTACTATTCTTTAACAGTGAAATTACGGTTATAAATTGAAATTTAGAAAGGGTTATACAATGTAGGCTTACAGGATATCTGTATAGATGCTAATTGTATGTACAAACAAAAGACCAGCAAAGAAAGATATTGAGAAAACGTATCGATTTTATTACTAAAAAACATGGTTTTAACACATTTTGTGAAATGATTGTTTAGAACATAGACAGTTTTACTTAATATTTCATATTGTTACCTTGCCCTTTTAAGGGAAACTGTATGATACCATTTATATGGCTTGTTTTAATAAATGATATTCATCAACTTAATCTTGGTGGAAATTGTAATTGCTTGTCACATGTACACTGGCTATACTTTAATGTCATAGTCTACCGAAAATTATGATTATCTAAAACATTGGAAATATAGATTCTAGTGATCACCTGTCTTCTAGTATCACACAAACCCTGCTTCAAAGACAAAGGGTAAACATATTTAATAATCAACAGCTCCTCCACTTCTACCCCCCAACACTCATACACTAAATCATCCCAATGTTCACTGTGAATTACCCGTGGCATGAGTTACTGTGATGTGCCAGCTGGTAGCTATCCGATTTATTATCGGTTGGTGATGTAGACAATCCCAGTCAACTTCATCACCTCCTTAAGTCCTTCTCCACCGTCATATATATATCCTGGCTGTATCAACGCTATGACGGCTGGACTGGCATTGTTATTGTTAATATCTAAAGCAAAAGAAATTTTGTATAGAAATTACACTCCTGCACAAATTGACAAAACCTCAATACTAAGTCATCAATTAACTACAAAATTTCACATTCATTGCTCTTTCAATGTTTACATGCTTCTCTGTATATTTCATAACTTGAAAATATTTTATATTCAATAAAATGTCTTGCCTTTCTTTTTAATTCGTACCTTGAAATACACTCATTGATGCAATGAGTTTGGTTTGGTTTGGTTTAGTATTGTTTAACGTCCTATCACAGCTATGGTAATTTAAGAACAGTCTCCCATGTGTGCAAGATGCATGCATGTAGTGTATGCATGTGTGTTTTGAGAGGCTGCGATATGTTCGTGTTTGTCTTCCTATGATAGTGCGGAACTGCTGCCGACTTTGTAGTGCTACCTCACTGAAACATACTGTCGAAGACACCCAGTAGGACACCCCATCCGGTCACATTATACTGACAACAAGCGAACCAGTCATCCCACTACGAAATTGCTGAGCGATAAGCAGGAGTAGAAACTACTATTTCTACAGACTCTGGTATGTCTCGGCCAGGGGACGGAACCCAAAGCCTTCCTCACAGGGGCGAATGTTCAACTAAAGGCCAAAAGTGAGGCATTGTCAAGGGAGACATAAGGAAGAAGAAAGTTGTTTAGAAAGAAGAGAAAAGATAAGATCCCAAATTTAGTCACCTCTTACAATCATGCAATTGGGGCGGTAGGTACAATTCTTACGCCCTAACTGCAGGGACCTGATGCTATGTGACAGGATTTGATGACAACATGAAGCTATAAATATGCCACTTCCGTATTTTAACTGCTTTCCTGCTATCTCTTGTGGAATGATAAATGTAAAACGCTAGCTCGGCCAATAGAAATAGGTGTGTCACATTATCGACAGGTTTAGCCTTGTTTTTATGTTATCACGTGACGGGTAGAGCATGGCGGAATAAACTTACCGCACGCTGATCTGATCTCCTGTTCTTTCATATTATTTGCGTATTTTAAAATTCCTTTACTCCAGAAAACATTGGTAAGCTGCTTTAGGATGTGACATACAGATAGGAATAATGTACCTCTATTTATGTGCTAAGAGTAAAAGAGTACCAATACAAATATATTCACATGCCAAATAGGTTCTACGTAATTTCTATCATTTTCTGAGTTTAGAATGTGAATTCGAAGCTTACCCTAGTCTTCCTGTTGAACTGAGCACCACACTCGTCCTGTAGTAGAAAGAACGGTAGATAAATATCCAGGTAGTATACATTGGATCTCGTCTCCAGAAGGATGCGGTCCTCTCCAATGTCCAATGTCACACTATTTACGGTTTTCTGTTGAAAAGATAAATACATTTGTACAAATCAAATGCTCTCATTATGGGAGATAAAAAACCTTAAATGATTGATACAAGAGTACTACAGTCAGAGCGTTACACAAAATTCCTTACTGTGGCTTTTTGCTAAGATACTGATTTAAAGATGGTGATCGATAAGGGGAAGTTACTTACTATCAGTAAATTATTACCACATAATTTAGGCCAAACAATGATTTTTGTTTTTGTTGCTGCTTTCGGTTCGAACTTGATATTCAATTCAATTGTGATAACTGCATTAATACCCATATAAGAAATCCTCCAGCTGTTAGTTTTATATTTACAGATTATATTTAGGGGAGAAATGTGCACATTATCCAACTTGTGCTGCATCCTAAAATTGTATAGTGCAGTGCTCTAGACAAGCGACTTACACATTACAACCAAGCTCCTTTAATCCAGCCTCTGCTGAATGCTAGTCAATGTTTTTAATTTAAACAGATTTCCTCTTTTTCCTTAAAATAAAGTGTTCCAATAATGCGAAAACTTACAACTTTGGGTAAGTTGATTTCTGCAACCAAATAGTCCGGGTGGCCGTCTACAGGGTCCTGTACTATCCTGTACTCGGGTGTCTGGCCCCTACAAAACAAAGTTAGACTCTGAAACAGATTTTTTCCTGTATGCAAATTTATAAAAAGACTATAGGACTGACACTTTTAAGTTATTGAACACAACACATATATATCTATCAACAAGAATACTAAAACAATGTAATACTGGTTCATACACATGTAAACCTGCAGCTGTCAATTTAATTTGATAAGAGTTATTTTATTATAGTACCTGCTATAAAAAATTACTTAAATGACCTTTTACCTAAAAGTGTCTTCCTCACTCAAAACACTGCAACTTCATAAAACTGATTGTGAAGACAAGGTCAGAAATAATGCAAGTTCAGAGTGGAAAAAAACCTGTTCACAGATGGTCAGACTGACATGATCATGTGATAATATGATTTGCTGAAAGTGAGGATTGAAGACGGGAGAAGAGCATTATACCTGGCTTTAAGATCCTGGGCATCCAACTTAGGGGCTTTTGGTATTGTTGGTGCTGAACTGGAAAAAAAATTACGCATTGGTTAAACAAATAATTGAATGTTCATGCATTATTAATTTTCTGTATTCTATAATGAATCCTCCATCTATAGCGATTATAAAATTTTGTGAGGTCTTATATAAACATGGGAAACCAACATCAGTGTTTTCCTCATTAAGACTACGTCATGAAAGTTAGATATTTAATTTTAACAACAACCAGTTCCCAATAATGTATGACATTTCTAGGTCCTTCAGTGAAAAACAACATTTAAAGATACCTTGCTCGCATATCAGTTCAGAAACAATTTCTGTATTACATATCATCATGGCCTTGACCTTTGACCTTTCTGATCCCTACTTAATCTATGGGAAATCTTACTGTGGTCATACTCGATACTGTGGAGTTTCAATTTGGCAAAGATTTCTGCTCACCCTATGCATAGTCATCCTGGAAAATGTGATAAATGTAGCTAAAATATGGGACACTAATAATGGTCAACAAACTGATGTCTACAAATAAGCATGGGAGTGATCCGAGTATACCCCTCTTACTTGGTGGTGGTACACTTACATTATGATCAGCATCAAGGGAGGCAATCCTTCTCTCTTATGTTTCAATTATCAAGCTGATGAATTCCCCATATATAGTTACTGGGCTAGTTTGTATGTGTTGGTAAATGAGTTATAGACTTACTTGTCCATCTCTGTGATGAGCGGTTTGGACTCGGCCCTGATATTTTGTTCTGGTAAAGTTCCAACAAATCTTTTGTTCTTCAGTAGAACCCAGTCTGTAAAATTGAGCAACGCAATCTGTCAAAAAATTGATGTACTGACCCTGTTCTGTTAACACAAACTGTTAGTGGTGGGAATTGCTTTAAAATCCATGTTCGATCAGCACTATTTCTCAAACAATTGATCATTAATTTTTATAAATATCTTGCTGTAGGCAGAAATGTTGTTTGAATGCAGTGGATCGTAAAACGTATGTGCACAATTGTGTGTTTAATCAGTTTTCAATTAGTTCAAAATCTCAGTAACTCAAAGTTTTCATATTAATGTCAAACCATGATCAAACTGTCATAAGAGGTAAAATGACTAATCATCAATTGAATTGATAAGTTTGAACAACACTTCTATGCACAATTTTTTTCCAGAAAGTAACAGTCAAAATATCTTCTGACTTCAGGCTATTAACCCTTTCACCCCTATGTAACTCTAGTAGACAATGCCATGCATTGATATGCATGAGTCCATTACAGTCTACAGTGGTGAAAAGATTAATTAATGAAACCCCTGGACCAGTAATACGGAGTTCATGACATCTTTATATATTCACAGTTTGTGCGATTCCTTCAGATATATGTAAACACTGTACTCACCTCGACTGAGGGTCTGATTGTATTTATCCTCGATGCCCTCCAGCGTGACGGACAGGAAGAAGGCCCGAAAAATCTCACTTTTCTTCATCTTTTCTAGAAAGCCTGGATTTACTACCACATCATAGGCTGTACAGCCACTTCCACCTGTCATAACAAACAGTAAATAGCATGCAATGTACATACAATGTCTATCTCACCGATTATATAGTCATCAACATTAAGTGCCAACAATTCATTGCAGGGTTTTTGCCAGCTATTTAGGGAAAGGGCCCCTGAGCAGGAATTGGGAAAATATCATTGGCATTTGGCAAAAATTGGGAAATATCAGCAGTGTTCCTACATGCATAGGTTTGGGAAAATATCAAATGTTTTGAGAAATAAAACCAACCATGTGATTTGCAAAAATGTTTTCCTCTAACCGTTTCTTAGAGTAAAATGTATAGCAATAGATAAACACATCAATTTTCAGTGTTTTTGTCTATTCAATTTCAAATTTCCGCTTTTTCTGTATTTTGAATGCTCTTTCATGGACGGTTATACGTTGAACATTGCACATATAACGACTGGAAACTTGTATAAACATGCTCTTTTATCTAATTGGGAAGATAAAGATTGAAATTGGGAAAATACAGGGTCATTTTTCAATTGGGAATAAATAGGTCCCCGTACCTGACCCTATAACCCTTTCAACACTGCAGACCATATGGACTCCTCCAAATAAATGTATGGTAGAGTCTATTAAAGTTACCTAGGGTTGAAAGGGATAAACACCTGGCAAAAACCCTGCATTGAACCTTGACTTTTGCAAATACAAGTTGTCAGAGTACATACTATATCAAATTCTGTGATCACATTAATTACTTTATGACTTGTCGCCTTATCTCCTTCCCTTTTATCAACATTCTGGTAAAAGAATTTGAAAAAAGCTTTAAAATACCTGGTCATGCCATACATATGTGACATTTTTTTCTGTGTTTATGATTTTTTTTAAATTACAATGACATATAACTGCAGGTCAAACACTTAACACAATAACTATCAAACAGATGGTAACAAATACAGTATTTTTTTTTATTACAGTAAGCACTAACTTTGTTAGGATCAGAATGTACTCACTTTTGTCCAGTTCAGCATGAGGTTCTCCGAGGCTCATTGGAATACGAAATCCAAAAGGATCTTCAGAATCCAACAACTTGAGGAGTTCATCATCTGTCATATCTTTTGGAGCTGGGACCTGGTAAAGCAGATAGAAAACAAGCAGATGTAGTTGTTTCTTGTATTATACCTGAACATTGGTTGCTTTTCCACACTAAATCATTAAACTATTACTCGTTTTTAGGTGAGTACACACACAGTAGCTATCATCAAAATGGTTCACTGACATCTTAAATTGATATACAACATAATAAGGTTCTCATAGAATCACAATATATCACTGTCATTATGGAAAAGATAAATATTTAAGGCTTTGAGCTGCATTACACATTTTTCCCGTAGAAAAGTTACTTCCCTTGAGAGATGTTCTAACAATTTGAAATGTGCAGTTTATAGCAAATTAACCATCTACACTGAACATTGTACATGTCATATTCCATAACATAAACCAAACACACTTTATTCATAATCACCGAGGCACTTCACATAATACAGTTATAGGGTAGCAGTCAAATACTGATAATTACATGACAAACATGACTTGTCTATTTACATAATTTCATATCAAGTTTGCAGTCTGTTACCTTACTGACTGTCCAATCTCTATCTATTTTACTTGTATCTTAATGAATGTTGTATAGTTTCAGATCTATTTAAGTAATTCAGAGATTTTGTCTACATTAATTCATTGAGTACTAGGTGAAAGTATCAATTTCCCAATCAAACTGACAAATAAAACTCAAAAACTTTTGATTACCAGTACGTACATTGTCAGCGTGACAAACATTGATGAATGCTTTCTTTCCTTCAGCATCTTTGGTCTTCAAGCAAAACCCTAAGTAAAAGAAACAAAGAACAAATTTCATTACTTAATCATAAATGTGATATTCTGGATAACAGCATGTATTCCTCCTATATATTCAATGATTTATTTTCTTTCAATTACTTCTGTGTTAGATTTACCTGGTTTTGGTACAACTTGAAGAACATTTTGTTTTGCTGCATCAGGAGGCATTTGGAATCCCTCCCTGGAAGCCTGTCAAATCAAACAGAGCAGTGTGAATGACATATATAACCAAGATCAATTTTCACAGAAGAAATTTGGCAATGTTTTGGTTGCAGGTTCTGTTATGTCAAATCTAAAAAGACAGAATACTTTACATTTAATTTAATTATTACAGTACTGGTGGTGCTGTTTTACTACAAGCCAACATGATGTGTTATGGTTAGATCAAGTGCATTATGATTATCAGGTTGGGCACAACGGCACATATGGGTAATAATCATGCATTTCAGATTTGGGTAACAGTTTCCCATTTGAGTAACAATTTTATTACTGAAATGGGGAATAAATAAAACAATCACTGAATGATGTATATTTGTGCAATACAGTTATGCATTCTGATGTCCAACTTTTTGTGAAAATGACAAACTATATCACTGACTTTGTTATGCCGCTTTGTTATCCATTGACTTCAGTGTGTAGTCAATGGGATCATCCAGTGCAAATGAGACAGGTGAACATGACTTTTTCTATGTGCTGTTAAAAGCAACGCTACAAGTAACAACACACTATAAACAATGGAGGTGATACAATGTGTCATTTTTATAAAGATTTAGACAACTGAATTAACATATTTTTGTGCGCAATTGAACAACATTGTATTATATATGTTGAAAGAATGACGCCCTTTTTCATTCATAATGTTTAAAAGAACTTGATGTGTTTTCATTTCACTGATTCCCTATTTCATTAATTATTTTTTTACTCAAATGGGAACTGTAGCTGTTGACCATGACATACCCTTGTGCCAAACCTAATCAGGTCCAGTACACTCTGCTGATTGAGCTATATAGCTATAAAGACCTATATAGCTATATACACCTATATAGCTATATACACCTATAAATTATAGCTGTATTGAGCTATATTTTCTAAGATTTCAATTTTCATTAAATTAAAAAAAACTCGCATATAACAATAAGGTTTATGGTAATGTTGACTACAAAAAGCATACAGTTAGATGTTTATTTTCAATTTTCATAAATGTAAAATTTCCGATTTTTTTACATCATTATTTTTTTTAAAGAATCCTTATATTTAATGTCTTTTGTTATCAACCTAATGATACAGTCTTCTTTTAAAAGCGACTTTGTTTCGTTTTCCTTAAAAAAGAAAATCACTTGAAAATAGCTCCAAAGACCTATTTCAGATAGGTCAATAGAGCTATTATAGGTCTTTACAGCTATATAGCTCAATCGGCAGAGTGTACTGGACCTGCTAATTATGGGCAAAATAACATTAAATATCAGATTGTTTTATCAATGAAAGACGTACAGCATCGAGGAGAAGTTGGTTATACAACGCTTCAGTATCTGTCGTCTCTGTATCAAGCATACTACCGGTCTGCATACTATCCATGATCAAAATATACCGGATAACAACTATTCAGAACTCAGAACAGGAGTCTGAGGAGATCAAGAGTCCAAGATATCAACAAGTAAAACCTTTTACCATTCGTCCATTGAAAAGCATCTATAATCAACTATGTTAACACAATGGCATATTTCTGTTAGGATTCAGTCATATTCCTTCACAAATATAAGTTTAAGTGTTTTCTTCTAAGCACATCGACTAAAATATGAAATGTGTTTGTTCATGTTGTTTACTATTTCTAAGCGGAAGCACATTTGTGCTGTATAATAAACGAACCCCGTCCGGAAATTTCTAATCTTGGTCATTGCTACGTTTTTAATTATAGTACTTACTACCAAGCTTATGTTTGACATTGATGGTGTTTCCCCAGTTCCCTTATAAGGAAGTATTCATAACCCACGTTTCCCAGATTAAATGACTAAACGTACATTTTGAGAAGTGACAGCATCGATCAGGGTAGATATATATTGAGGAGCTGGATATTAATAGAAGACTCATAGTAACATCCGAGAACTGAAACATATCTACAACAAGATGCAGGTAATATTTGATAGGGACAGTCTGACAGTAAACTGTCTAAACATACGAGAAAATAATAGATGCTTATTTACCGGTATTTACATTTGATCAGTTAAATTTCTTAATTGTTAAGTTAATTTTACTCATAGGATCATAGCCGTATATTTTTCCTAGACTGAACATTATGGATATAATGACAATTTCATTAGAAAACTTATATATAAGAATATATACACGCAGTATATAGCAATATTAACATATCGTTAATTTTTTATTGGGTATAGCCTATAAGCTATACTGAGTTGCCTAGTAGATGTGTATTAGGCTTCTGTATACACGTACATTATATATATATAATATGTTGGAAATTGGAAAGGGTTATGTTAGTGAAAACTCACTGCTTCCACCCCAATGTTTCTAGTAAAAGTATTTATTGGAGTTTCTAAACATTTTCTTCAGATTGGTAAATATGGTTATTGGAGTTTGTTGGTGGAAATATGTTGTAATCTAGATATATATATATATATATATACATCCTTGCAGAGAAAACATTTTTTAAGTGATTTTTTTTTGATCAGTTGAAAACTTAACAAACATTGTCTTGAGATGTTCTTCTTCTTTTTCTTCTGCATGTATGAATAATTCAAAATAGATTTTTATGTTCTTTTCTTATTTAACTTATAAAAACTTATAAAAAGGGGAAAAGATTTAGGAATGAAAGTTTATTCTAGATCTTCTATCAGGTTTTTTTTTATTTGGAGGATGAACATATAACTATAATCAGGGTTGGTTATAGGTGGTTTAAATTAAGTCACTTAATCACTTATAAGTGATTTAATGTGTGTTATCTCATCCCCATTTATATATAGTCACTTTAGATCACGGATTTCAGCTTCTCCTTCATTTTTGCTGATTTGCATACTGTGTAGAGCATACTTCTTGTTTGATTCACAAGCATCAATTTTTAACAATCATTTTGAACGATTATTCATTACACAGGATCCAAATGCTGATACAGAGTGGAATGATATTTTGAGGGCAAAAGGAATCATCCCAGAGAAGGAACAGGAAGTTACAGAAGATGATGTCGTCAGTATGTTGGAACAGACAATCCAGGATAAGGCAAAGGGTGAGAATTCACCAATGGTTGATGTACTAGCCTGTGTTTCCTCTGGCACTGACACTAGACATTTCAACATAAACAGTAGATGTCTGGTCATGTGGGGCCAGCTAGGGCACACTAGTTTATGAAAACATGGAACTCTCTGGTACCTTTTGATATCGGAGAGCACTGTTCCACTGTACATGTATGCACACACAGGGAGATACATGTATTAGCCAAGTGGCTTATATAATTAAGGCCGGTAGTTATTACTTAATACTGGCAGCTCCAGGACATTTCTCCAAAGTTGTAAGGATTGATACATTGTATTGAATGTATTTACTGTAGTGTAATCACATTATAGTAGTTAATGCTAGTTATAGATAAAGTGGCTATTTCAGATGTTACATATATATTTTTTTCATATGAATACCCTGTTATGCAGTGTCATAAAGCTAAGCCATCACATAAATTATGCTTATGTAACGTGTGTAATATCATCCTGGAAATGATGTCACAATCGAATAGGAACAATCAATGTGACGTCACCATTTTCATCGTTTCAGAGGCGGCCAAGTGCAAAATATTCGTTTCAGATCACAATTATACAGGCTACTTTGTATTATAGTATATAAAAAGAATCTGTCATTCGTTTCCCTTAATATTAGATTGATGATACTCCTTTTGAATTTTTTCATATTTGCATGCCAAAGGCTCGCAAACATGAAAAATCCAAAACTTTTATCATCAATCTGATATGAAGGGAAACTTATGACAGATCCTCTATATATCTTTACCTGTACTTTACAACATATGTACATGAATGAAAGTGATTTAAATGATTAAATCTGGGAGTATCTTTTTAATTAGTTGAAGTCTCGCTGTTTCTAGAGAAGCTATGAGTTTCATTAATATGCCTATATATATGTTAAGGACAAAAATTATAATTCCCTTTTATTATTTGTCAACTCAAAAAGTTTAATCAAAGTACATTAACTGCTGCATGTACCGGTACTAGTGATGGGCAATCGGTTTAAAATCATAATCTATAATTAAATTGGTTTGTAATCAGAAGTAGTGAACCGATCAATGATCGATTGCATAATCAGTTTATAATTTTATGAGACTGAATATACTCCAAGTAAAGTGAGAGCACTACTGTTACATCAATAAACAGAGTTGTTCACTATACATTAGGTTTTGTTCTTTTATAATTAATGGTTATCAAGCAACTTTCATGCATTTTTATCAATCATATAATATAAATCATAAGAATATAAGACTTTCAAAGTATATTTCACATGGAAGACGTTTAAATACTGATGAACCGTTTAATATCGATTATGGAATTTGTAATTGATAATCGAAATCAGAGAGGGCAAACCGATCGATTTTCAATTATAAACGATCATCAGTCCATCACTAACCGGTACTTAAAAAAGTCTTTTCGGACTTTGTATTGAAATGTTGTTCAGTGTAAACAGATCCCACCATATTTTCCCTTTTTCTCTTAATATATATGATCATAATCTGTAATCTTGATATTTAATCAATGTAATATATCTTTTATGATTCTTAGGGAAAGACTTATGTGATATGTCACTGCAAGAGCTTGATGACAAAGAAGATGACATCGATGACGAAGAAGAAAGGATATTTGAAGCATACAGGTAATGAACTTTTAAGTAGTCTATATATGAAATCAAATATTTGGATGTGTTCTCCACTGCCCGTTTGTGCTAGATTTCTGTTAAAATAAATTAACGAGGTAGTTAGAATGCATCGGATTTATTCATTATGGATGATAAAGATACAATACAAATCAAAGTGAAATTATGTACACTTAAACGGTACTTCCGACCGCTGATCAATATAAGTCAAATACTTGGTAGCGTGAATTAATATACAGCAAGTCAAAAGGGATCACCCAAAATATAATGAGCTGGCCTGTTATGTAATCTACATTACAGAGAGTCTGACTATTACATAAAGACTTACTAGCTGAACATCATATAGAATAGAAACAACAACTTATCGTTAATAGTTATTTCTAAAAACGCCACTAATAAATGGCATCTTTCATATTTTTAGTCAGTCTCTGAGTCTTAATACGTAAATTGAATACATGTACATAGATTGATGCTGCTGTGGTGTAAAGAAAGATGAAGTATTATAAATATAAGTTCATATAAAGCCGTGGAGGGATTTGTATTTATATAACTTTTGAAGTGCATTTTCAATTACCACATTTTTTGCAATACATCTATATGATACATTTGATGTATTACATTGTGACATGACTGATTTGTTTTATGAATTACTGTACTTGTAGTTAAACAGCTTAAAGGGGCTATTTAGTCAAATGACAACCTGAAAATCAAGTAAATAATGAAAATATAAATTTTTGGGGGGAAAGCCGGTGATGAAAATAGCTAAGACCAAAATAGCGCAATATCCGGGCCTTTAGTGAGAAGTAAACATGTACAGCATTACGCTGTCGACCGGCAACACAGTGCCAGTTGTGTCTGAGTTCACACGTAACACATTCTTGAATTTACACAATATATCTCAAGTAAGAATTATAAGTATCAATATATATACCTCTAATAAGATATTTCTGTTCACATTTGAATTTTGAATAAAAACGAGCAGGTTCAATTAGAGCATGCAGGCACTTAGAGGGTGCCACAGGGAGATTTTCAATCCGCAGAAAGTACGATATCAATAGGCTTAAACGTAAAATAGTCATTTTAACTCATTTATAACAATGTTTGAGATGCTGTTGGAAGATGATTTTGATTCAGAATAGATCCATGTACTTGTATTCAGAGAGGCTCAATGAATTAAGCGAGAAGTAACCTTCTCTCCTTGGCTGGAAAGACATTTTTGTTAGCTAAAAATTCACCGACAGCTGTTGCTTAAATGTATCGCTGTACAGTTAAGGAATTCTCTGTTACTGATTAAAAACGCAAAGAAAACATAGTATCTTGTCAATTTCTAGACATGAATTGTTCATACTGAGTACTAAACTATATAATCATGAAGAATTTTGTGACATGGATATAAAAAAAACTTACTTCACTAAATTGTCCCTTTAATGTAATTGTAAATTTTGTATTAGGAGACAAAGAATTGAAGAAATGAAAGCTTCAGCAGCCAAGTCAAAGTTTGGAAATGTGCTGGAGATTAGCAAAGAAGACTGGGTCAGGGAGATCAACAAGGCTGGGGATGGAATCTGGGTCGTCCTCCATGTCTACAAACCAGGGTAGGTTATCTCCCCTTCATCAAGTTCACTGGTACTGAGACTGACCATAATGGTTGACATATGATTTTTTTTTCCAAATGAACAAAGTGTTTCAAGGTGGTTAATTTCTAAGTATGATTTAGGTGATGAGTTAACATTATAAAGAACTCATGATTGTGGGAACCCTTATAATTATTACACTGTCAGGTAGTCCGAATTATTCTGACGTTTTATTGACTTTTTTCATATCGGTCTGTCGTCGATTAACGTCAGAACTCCGACCCTCTATAATATGCGGGAAATATGCGACCCGCGCCCGGAGCGCACTTCAAACTGATATTTTAGAAACAAATCGTCACTTTCACGCACATGGATCAAAAGATCTGTTCTTTATGTACAAGATGAACATACATAACATGCCTCAAACAACCAATACAATCACTAAAAACATATTTTTTCAAACTTACTCTGTTTTACTCTAGTTTTTTGATAGCCTCGCCTTCGATTGCCACGTGACTAAAATCTCGCCGGCCTACGTCATAACGTTGGGAAATACCTTCGGTAACGCGAGATCTCATCAAGTCATGTGACATTGCTCATGGCCTAATTTCCATTAAAAACATGGGTTGGTATAGAAAACGTTGTAAAATACTTTTCGTAATGATCTTTGAAACATGTTATTGATACCACCTAGTGCATAAAGAATAGATCTTTCGATCCATGTGCGACATGTGTGTGAAAGTGACGATTTGTTTCTAAAATATCAGTTAGAAGTGCGTTCCGGGCGCGGGTCGCATATTTCCCGCATATTATAGAGGGCCGGAGTTCTGACGTTAATCGACGACAGACCGATATGAAAAAAGTCGATAAAACGTCAGAATAATTCGGACTAACTCTAACTGTCAGGCTACATTCGCGTATCCCGGTTGAAACGGTACGTGTGGCGCAGAAACGTTCCACGATAAACGAACACACTTGGACCGTTCTATAAGTAAAGCTAAAAATGCACAGTTTCGGAGAATAAAAAATAGTGTATCAAGAATATTATGCCCTTCTTTCATGCGTCCACTGAATAACATAACGTATCTTAAAATCTACATGTGGTTTGACATTGTTTTAGAAAGAAATAACGCAATAGTCAACATTTTAGTTTCGGTCAGGTATGTCTGGACCCCTCAATCTACACATTCCAAATTTTCCTGAGGTCAGCCTCGGTTCAGATCTGTACCTGTCGTTTTATTTACATGTTCAACCGGTTTGAACCATTTCAACCGGATATGCGAATGTACCCTATTTATTTTATTACTTAATAGAGTTATAGTCTTATTTGTTCATGTTAGCATATTTGTAATATTTGGTTCTTTTTTCTTCTTCCAGGGTTCCACTGTGTACATTATTGAATCAACACATTCTTGAATTAGCCAGAAAATTCCCAGAAGTCAAATTTGTGAAAAGTGTGTCGAGTGTATGCATTCCTAATTATCCAGACAAAAACTTACCCACCATTTTTGTGTACCATGAAAATGAAATGAAGAAACAGTGGGTGGGACCACATAATTTTGGAGGCATGAACTTTAAAAAAGACGGTGAGTACAATTCACAAAAGTTGAGCTTGAGTTTTATGATATCGATGATGTCATTCATCAGCCGTCTGAAAATGTTAACTCATAGAAATAGATTCAAGTTATTATATAATTTCATGAACAAAACAAATTTATTTGATTATAATGCATTTGTTATTGTAATTAATCAATGTTTTCTTTCTTTTCAGAACTTGAATGGATGTTATCACAAAATGGAGTATTAAAAACCGACCTTGAAGGTCCCCCGAGGCAAGGAGTGGATGATGTGATGAGTCGGGCAGTTAGGGAGAGTGCAATAGACAGCGACGATGAGAACGATTGGTAGAACATAAACGCAGCATAGGTTTTTTAATAAATTTTATATTAATCAGAATCCTGAAGTCTTCATATTTTTATTCTCGGTAGGTTTGAATCATCAAATATTATCATTCTTTTCAGGAAAACCCTATCACAATAGGAATGCATAGCACATTTTTTACACAATGGTCCCTTGAACAAAAGATACAAACTGTCAATTAAATATTTTAGTTTTGTCAATTATTTTTGATAGTGCTGTCAGTTGTATTGACTCAAACAAGTTGTATAGGAGAGAAAAAGAAAAAATAATCACTCCATTTTAGGATAGACAGAAATATCTTGAAAAAGAAGAAGATTTTTAAGGTTCAGCATTAATTGGCAAAGCCTCTCGCTGAACTTCCAAAATATAACCCTTGTGTTGAGAATGTATTGCCCACATCACTTAGCGGTGATCGATTCGGTAAATCTCGTAAATATATATACACATTCAGTGATCAATCTACAATTAGTTTGTATGGGTCTTTTTCCACTGTATGGTTAAAAGACATGGGTCCCACCATATTAAATTTCAGTATCTTCAGAAATTGTATTGGTCAAATAGAAATTCTACGGGTAGATTTAATACTGCACATTCAGTTCAATGAGAAACATCAATTACTTGCCACTGTGTCATCAAAACACAAAATCATGAAAAGAAATTTTAAAAATATGTTCAGTGTATCGATTAATTGAGTACTTCACATAAACGACTTTACATAAACTACTTACTTAACATAAACTGCTTTACAAGAAATTTTAAAAATATGTTCAGCATATAGATTAATTGAGTACTTCACATAAACTACTTTACGTAAACTACTTACTTTACATAAACTACTTTACATAAACTACTTACTTTACATAAACTACTTACTTTATAAAACTGCTTTACAAGAAATTTTAAAAATATGTTCAGTATATAGATTAATTGAGTACTTCACATAAACTACTTTACATAAAATACTTTACATAAACTACATAGTTTGTGTACATGTGTCTTACATGTAATGTTAGGGGATGAATAAACTTACAAACAATAAAATAGCAATAGTTTGATGCAGAAAACATTTTATTACATGACAAAACAAGTAAGTGAATCAAACACACACGTTTGACAAACCTGCATTAACTGGGCATTTATACATCATGCATACATGAAAAACCCAACACCTGACTTATACCTATAAACCTGTGTGTTCTCTGACAAATACACTCAAGATGCAGGATTTCATTTTGATATTTTGATAATGAATGGGATTACAGAACATAAATCAGAGAATTAAATGTCAATATGACATACAGTGAGTAAACAAGAGGTAGATTATATGATGTTGATGGCAAACTATTTTTAATGCTGAAATGATTTTTTAAAAATATTGTCCTAGCCAATCAAAACCATGATGTCATATTGGATTTTGTCATTGATATGGATGAACTCGAAAACTTTCACACCCGCAACTACACAAGAAACTCTATGACTACATAATGTAGGTCTGATGGTCGCCATTACCATCTGCTTCAAAGTCACGGATCCGGAACACAAACAAAATGTTAGAATCTGTTTTAAGATTTTAACACATTTGACCTTTTGTTTGAATGTCAATCTCTTAGCGACTAAACTAATTACTACAAAATCACAGTATCTAAAGTTCATTTGAACTTGCTGTGTACATACCGGCTTCAAACCGAGATTATAGTGACTATGGGAATGAAAAGTCATTGTAGAATGCCTGAGGAACATATTTTACCGGTGTATATACAATGTATATGCAAAACCAAGGACCTTGTGACAGTCATGAATAAATAAGCTTTAAATAAGGTGTCCTTTTATTACATTTAATGTTGTTTTATAAAAGCTAGACATGTTATAAATACAATAACACATATCAATCAGTCACAATGCTTACAATAGTGTCTAGCGCATTTATAACATCACAGAATTTATCAAATCATTAATGGCACATCATTTATCAATTTAGGTCACTTTGCTTTCATTTTCTTATTCGTAATCTGCTCAAATATATTACTGGGGAATTTCATTATGAGTTCAGTGGTTTCAAATGGCAACACCTATCTTAGTTTGAGGCCAGTATGCCTCTCCGGTCCACAGCTAATAAAAAAAAAGAACCCAAACTCTGCAATACCTAGGTATAAATAAACATAATATACAGTCATCGCGTGGCAATCAGTCGGTTCGCAAAGGAGATTGACATGTAATAAGTCTTGTGTAATGTTTTTATGACATCTGCAGCACTAAGGCTTATTGCAGGCTAAGTAAACATTGCTGAGTTCAATAAACATCCTTATAACACTGTATCAGGGTTTCGATATATAATTGGGAGTCTTTGAATGCGACTTATCAGAGGTTGAACGTTTGGGCGACTATACCATCTTTTAGGGGGATTTTTTGAACCTTAAGAATCATGGGGCAAGTACATTAAAATGACTGGAAGAATACAGATGGATAACTTTAAAAGACTTCACTAAGCAAGCTCATAGTCTATATAAACTTTGTTATTTCATATAAGTTTGAATGCTGTCAATTTGTTTTAATTTCATAAATATGAAGAAAGGTGAGATATTGAGGCCTTCAGATAAACTGCTATAATTATCAGTCTTAATATTGTTATACATTATGACAAGTTCCTCCTCAGCTCACGAAACTATCAGTTTAGCTACAGGTTTTTCAATTAATTGCCTGTGTTACATGTACAACATCGCAAGGAATGTGTTTAAAAACCCATTTGTGTAACAATGGATACAGCGATGTGTATTAAAAATAGACTTTGTGACAAAACTTCATGATGAAAGCACAACAGACAAGACAATCACAAATAGGATAAATGGGTTGAAGGTCATGTGACCTGCCACACCAACTGGACATGGTGTATCTGAGTATGAGGAGTTGGTGAACTGGACACGCCCTTCAAGACCAGATGTTACTGGGTTGAATTTTTTCAGGTACTCCGACAGCACATCAATATCCAGGAAATCTGTAATACAAATAATGTTGTCTTATAAAGTACATTTTGTAATTTGTATATTTTCCCACCATTTATTGATACAATACACTTGTCGGCCGCTCAATACATACACCCAAGTACGTCATGTACGACAGATTCAGAAATCCATCATTTAGCAAAAGTGATAGCCGTTGCATTCAGTCTTATTCACTGCTACGTGTACAGTGTATACATAATCTTACGAGTTTCTGATCTGTTACATATTTTACAGAGGTACACATCAATACTGTAGTACGATCGGATGAACACAATTTTGTGCCTTTTCCCGAATATCGATGTAATAACTGTAAAAGTAAAAATGTTCGTGGTTTGGAAATGCTCACGTATACACGTTCACCTTTCTGACAGACTGCTTTTAAAAAATATGTACAAACTGGCCTCTCCTCAGGCGAGCAAGTTATAAAAACAGATCAATCTAAATGAAAATTAATGGAGCTATCAGCAATTTTAGTACGTATTCACATCTAAACAGAGTGTCTTGAGTGTAAATAATTCCATACTTTCTACCAGTAATCTTAAAATGGTTCTTCAGTAACGAGATAAGCCATTGCTAACAGTAACACACTTACTGTATTGGTAACACCTCTCATGATGATCCTAATACTTACTGTATTGGTACCACCTTTCGTGGTGGTCCTGTAGCACAGAATAACCGTCCCCACCCTTTATGATGAAGGCCTGGGCCACAACTCTGTATACGTCTGTGTCATCTAGGGGACTGTAAGCAGGAATCAAACACTCTTGACATCTTGCTTCTACCGACACAACTCTATGACCCTTAGGCTTGGAGAGATCATACTTCACCAGAAGACCTATCGGAAGACGGATAAAAAGATAGATTAATGATACTTATCTTACCTCTGATAGGTAAGAGAAAAGTTGTTGTTTTCCTGAAATTTCATGTGAAATTGATTGTGAATGAGTCTGATATTTGACGTAAGATGACAGGTTCGTTGATTAATTAAAAGTTGTTATTTGAGGCAAGGTAACAGGCTCTTCAATAAATGATTTTTTTTATTTGAGGTACGGTAACAATTCCGTCAATGAAAGAAAATATTTCATTTGAGGTAAGGAGATAAGTTCATTAATGAATTAAAATATGTTGTTTGAGATAATGGTGACGCAGTGACGGATTCAGAGACCTATCTGGGGGAGGGGGTTACCAAATTTCCAGGGGGGTGGGGGTGTTCCATGTGGAGGAAAATTGAGGAAAGTGGTGAAAATACATGAGTTTTGAATACAATTCTCTGGGTGGGGTTCTTGAAGCCCAAAAAAACCCTCTGGATCCGCCACTGTGACAGGTTCGTCGAATGAAAACGTGTTATTTGAGGTAAGATGACAAGATTCGTCAATAGGTGAAAATGTTATTTTAGATAAGGTGAAAACATGCTAAAACGTTTTGAGGTAACGTGACAGTTTAGTCAATGAATGAAAATATCTTACAAAATGTGACTTAAGATAAGATGACAGGTTCGTAAAAAAAAAAATAAAAAAAATTGAGGTAACGTGACAGGTAAGCAAATGGTGTTCATATCTGCAAGGAAGTAATGAGATGGACTTTGTGCTTCTGATATATTAAGCAACATGTTAGACCTGTCTGTTTGTATCTTACTTGTTAAGCCAGAGGCGTTGAGTTAAAGTTTACCTGACATTTGAAGGAATGCACCAGGTTTGTCAATAGGACTATAATTTTCCACTGAGTGTTCCAATGCCTGGCGCAGATATTTCCCTTTGATGTCAATGACGTCAACGGTATTTCCGAACGGCATCAAAGTCAATAGTTCACCTCGAGTAATATTGCCTGTAACAAAGAATTCCAGAGAGCCAACATAACAAATAGAAAACCAGTCAGACACTGTGCAGACCACAGATTCCAGTTGATAAGACACGCATCGTCGGATACCCACGGTTGATTTCGCTTCGGTACTCACTCTTCAGCGAAATCAACCGTGGGTATCCGACGATGTAAGACACGGTGTGATTCTTGGAACATTCTGCTACTACCTATGCCTTAATTCTCAGATACCTGTGCTTCAGACATATTGATAATAACGAATGCGCCTTTGATCGTAATTTGATATAATTTAGTGTCGTTTAAAGACGACATTTTTATGAATACTCCAAAATGGACTTTCTTCCTTGCCATTTATGAAACATAATTAACAGTTAAATAACAACCGATTCAGTAATTAGTTACTCTGAAATAATATGGTTTCATGAAAATCAGATCTAGCGTCATGAATAAAAAAGGCGGGACTAAATAGGAACACTCATGGTCGGTTCCTACCTTGTTCGATTGGCGCCCTGATTCCTCCTGAGTTTATTATAGCTATGGCAGCCTCGGTCCACGACGCGTTGTCTGTCTGCCTTCCGACGAAGTAATCTACCATCCCATCAGTTACCAGGTTTCCTGAATGGAAGGAAATAGTTCATCAACTCAACGAAACTTCTTGTTATAGAACGCCATACGGTATCATGACATCGCCAAAGATATCCCCTTGCGTACATGTATAATAGTCTTTTGGAGAACAAATTTATGTTGTACCTTGGAATTTTGTCTAAAAGTATCACTCTGTCAACTTCTTTTCTGATAATGAATTCAATTTCTCGGATTTGTACATCAAATAGCGATGTTATTTTACGGGGCGGGGTGTCATATAAAGACCTTTAATATATCATTGGATCCTTGGGACGCATCCCAACAGGAAGAGTAAATAAATGAAAACAAAAAACTATCGGTCGCAAGCATTGAAATGGAGAGAGCAGACCATGTTTTTGTTTCCTCAATTGAGTCATAAGCAGAAGACAATGAGAAACCTTCAATTCTATAGGAGCCTTGTGGTATTTACGGTAACACGCAGTGTTATCATGCCGGTCCTTTTTTTCCCCCAACCTGATTTGGTTGAAGTATGAAGGGTGGTTCGTGTCTTCATTTTCATGATTAAAGATGAGACGGACGCCTTTCATATCGGGGTCCTCTATTATTTTCAAGGTTTTTGGAACTCAACGGATTCAGTATTATCTTGTACATTTACAAAAACGTGACAGCATTTTTATCTGTGGCATTGTTCAACGGTTGGAATATGTTGCAATTTTTACGCATTGATGAACTATGTAAAAGTAGGTTGATGCCATGATGCAACTTCATTGTGGAGATTAGGAGCGGTGGTATGTGCAGACAGGGTATATGGCTATTGAGGGTACGATACTCATTAACAGCCATGAGCATTCAAGGGAAGAGGTACTGGTGCTGATCTTGTGAATTGGTTAAGAATACGAGAGGTCAGTTTGGTGATCACAGTGAGATATTGGTGATAGGATGGGTTAAGTTTTATTTGCAGTTCCAATTACTTTTTGACTGTACGATGTCTTATCACCAGTATTTAAATTCATTTCTATTTCACAATCATGTAGGTGAAAGTGCTTATCTACTAATGCTGATTAAATTAAGTAACTTTTCTCTCAACAAACACAGGTGCTGCTGTTTTTGTTTTAAACCACACTGATTCCATCCTGTGTGTCATGTTTTAGTATCCAACGCTAGTAATAACAGCACTGTCTGATATGAGATACACTATTTACCTCAATTTCACAGGATAGAGACGTGGATTGTTTTGGCGTATTGACGGGGAACTGTCATCCAAGTAGTTCTGAAAGGTCGTTTCACAAAATTTCATTTCTACTATCTTAACCATTATGTTCAATTTTGTTTTTCATTGGTTGGGAAGTGTAATCTGTGGTATAATAATCATAATATACAACATTTGATATAGCGCCCTATATAGCTAGATTAAGCCACTCTAACGCGCTTTATACAATTTATACAATCAATACAATTAGCATATATATCAATCAATACAATATTGAGGAATTCGCAGGAGCTGCCTTAGCAGACGCTAACTACTAGTCCTATGCCACCTGCCACCTCAGGCTAGTATCTGTGTGTGTGCTTGAGATGTAGTGTTCTGTTTGTATTGGAACCGTGCTTCTAACGGTATCATTTATAGTGCTCACTTGAATGCTACAACACAGATACCGCAATATCCACCCCAGACCATTTTATACTCCACATAGGTTCGAAACCCGACTGCGTGCGTGGAAGGCCGGAGTGTTAACCACTCGACCAATCCGCACATATATATGTTTTTCTCCTACATTTTACCTACTGAATGAAGATCAACACATTACGCATTTCAAGACATTTTGATTATAAAATGAAATGTCATTACATTTTTCTTTGACGAAGTTGTTTGGCTTATCCTGAATACAAGAGTTTTGCAAGATATGTTCTGTTCCCACCCCTATCACCAATCATTTGGTGTAATGCATCGAGTAACATAAAGGAACGGTTGAAAGTCACATACATGTTAAGGTTTTTTCATAGCTAAAGAATTTGCAGGCAAGAAAAATGAGTTTAATAAAGCTAATAAAATATCCATATTTTTGTTTATATACAGTATTTTTTAAGATTATTATTTTATTATTTCATTATTAAATTAATTGCAAGACGTGTCAATAAACAAATCCCCGAACCAGGACTTCTTGGCCATGGGTATCCTTATTAACACAACATTAAGTACTAAAAGATATATTTGGGTGGTTGCATGGCGACATGTTATAGAAACTATTTGATAGACATTCAGAAAAGTCCATGTCATCGCCGACGTTCGATGACCGATAAAAAGTCTACATTTGCATTTGGCATGAATATAAATACATTTGTATACATAATTGTGTCAGTATTCCGTCTTTGCGTATTGCAGAGTTATCTTCTCTTTGGAGCAGGTATTGATTGTTACGTCATTTGTTTGTGTGAGAAAATTACGTCGTTTTCTCAAAAATTGATGACGTTCCTCTCACAAACAAGTGACGTAACAATCAATACCTGCTCCCAAGAGAAGATAACTCTGCAATATGCAAAGACGGAATAGCACCTTTAACGTGAGTAACAGTAATCACAGTCATTTCATGACAATACACACGTCTGTCGGCGATGTGATGGTAACATTCCGCGCTCCGTGTACTGTTAGGTCGCAATCGGGTCTAACGATTCTGACTGGCGCGTGCACATGTTTACAAGAAAGAAACTCAATTATCGGTGACATGTGGCTTAGGCCTATTTAGGTACAAATTTGTGTGACATTGATGACAACAATGGTCGCACAAGAGTACTACCCGTTACTCAGTAGTTAAACGCTGTCGATGCGCAAATAGATCAAGCGTAAGCGAGGTTTGCGAGGCTATTATTGCATCGCCGATAGCCAACCCAGACCAATAATTACGTAATTTCAGTACTCAAATTGTGTGTTTGAACAATCCGAAACGTGGGTAAGCAGGTTTCGAACTATCACTAGACAGAAAATTGTTATTTTTATTGTTCAAAAAGTGCGTTAGAACTATCTGCCTATTGGAACTGACCGGAGGTTTACCGAATATTGGAATTGGTAATTGATAATTTACCCATGTTGCACTCTCCCAGTCGACACACGGTACTGCTTCCTTCAAGGTACACTGCCGTTTTCCCCATCACTACACTCTTCTCGTGGGCAAGGGGTACCAACAGAGCTGCAACCTCAGCCTCAGTGGCAGGGTCTGTAACGAATCTTTGTAATGAGTATGTCGATAGCTTAAATAACAAACTGATCGTAGATCTTCCGTTCACAACATTCAAAATTATTTTTAATTGTCAGTTTGTTACGTGAAGCAGTAAAGGAGCCTTAATCTCATATTTGTCTGTGAATTGTCCTTGAATCGTCACATAAGCATACAACACACTTATCGATAACAGGTATTAAAGAAACTCATATCTTAATGTATAGACCCACATGTAAAAATAAGAAACAAAAAACTAAATCAAAATGGAATCCTAGACAAATTGATATTTCAAAGAAATTATTATAGTCTATGTGAACGATTTTAATTTCAGTCTTTTGTTGTAAGCATTGTTCGAAACTTTGCGGTCGACTTGTTATGAATGATATCCAATATAATTTTAAAAATCAATATGTACTTTTCCTGTAATATTATTATGTCAAGTAGAAATTACAATCAAGCATAGTGTTAGTTCAATATTCATTGAAAAATGAAGTTTTAGTTTGGGTTGAAAGTTTCAATATCTTCAAAAATATCAGAATTCGTCATATTCAGGGTATTCTCTCAAGCGTTACGTGAAGTATATGTGAAAGTTTAATTATTGAGAAATGTTGAACTTAATCCTCGTCCCGACAGCTAACCTTTAGCAATGGAATTGTCGAGCAGTATCGGGGCACCTTGCCATTTTGTTACGCGCCCCCTGTCGTCAAACGTGACGTTAATGAAACCGAGGTATTTGCCTGACCAGTACGCCTGCACCACCAATGTCTTCTCGCCGTTGTCCTTGGTGATCACGGTCGGGTAGGGCCCCTCTGGTACGTCATTCAAAGGAGGGGTACCTGTGTTATAACGAGGCACTTTCATATAATGACATATCTTTCAATTTCGTCTAGCTGTGGTTTGAATTGTCGATAGACGGTGTTGTAATCAATTTAAGTCAATCCTTTCAGATCCAATAACCAGCCCAAGAGTCTGAAATAGCCTATTTACCAACAATGTTAAAGGATTGCTTAGGACGTATACTCTCGATAATGGATGAAATTTTTATCTCGATCAAGTATAAATTGCATGATATAACATCGCTGCATGTGTCGTAACAACTTTAAAGATTAAAGTGGAAAAAATCCGCCACAACCTTACCCGTGTACAGGAATGTGTGACTATGCCCGCCAACAATCACATCTAATCCCTCCACTTCCGCCGCCAGCTTCATGTCATGCCCGTAACCATAGTGACCAAGACCAATGATTTTGTTAATGCCCTGTCTGGTCAACTCCTGTACCTCGGCCCTCACAGATGACACGACGTTTTTGAATTTCACAGTCTTATCTGCAGACAGAAAAGTTGGTGTTTAACGCAAACAATACAGTAACAATCTCATTAAAACGACTAGCTGATTCGGACATTAAAGATGTTTTTCTTCAACTGATGCTCCCATTGCAATATTTCAATGGTGTTTCCCCTTGTACTTGTTTTCAAACAATTATATGATTGACCTTTTGGCATAACTGATTGAGACATCGGTTTATTATGATTAGTCTGAAGTTAGTCAAAATAGTCTATAGATCTTGAATTAGTATGATAAAAACTCCGACCTGCATTAGAAATGAAGGATGTCTCCTCGGTCGTGAAGCCGATGACTCCAATTCGTTGTCCATTAACTGTCAAAATGGTATGTTTGCCTATTTTGTCCTTTAGTCTCGGTTCTGCAGAAAGGTCGAGATTACAACTGAGCACAGGAAACACTGACGTCACATTGTCCAAGAATGGCACCAACCCAGCGACTCCATTGTCAAACTCGTGGTTACCGAGGGCCTAGGAATGAAACCGGGATAGAGTATCATTTCAAGCGAAAAGATACAAAAATACTGGTAGGACCTTCAACTGACTTCAGAAAGTAGGTGACAGGGCGACATTACCGGAGTGTTTTTCGTTTAGTGATATAGTAAAAAAACACTTAAACTAAATCATATTCACTGCATTTCGCTTTAAAAAATATATTTTCTATTGTCAAATTAATACTGGATATCTCTACTGTTGTCCGTTTAATGAAAGCAAACTCGCAAGCATCACGCTGTCTGTTTGCAAGTTTTGTTTTTGAAAAGGATAATTTTGCGTTTAAAAAGAAATTGCGTCCGCCCCAACACACACAATCTGTATATATGCTTTAAAACGAAAATCGATATGGGTTTGGCAAGACGTATATAAGGGTTTACCTGCAACGACCTTACCAGTCACTCTTTCTAGAACAAGACACGATTAGTTGATGGTAAGGTCATGTAGATTTTTAATGAAATGTGTCTTGCCGTTATGGTTGGGTGAGATCGAAAAATGGAGGATAAAATACAATGGTATGAGGAAGGTAGGTAAGCTGATCTCGAAGTAGTCAACCTGTAAAGGTATTTATACCTGGCCGCGATTGTCAGTAGCTCTTATCTCTACTTTTTATAGTTCAAAGGGAACGATGGAGGTTCACTTTTAACAGTATAAAACAAACATGGCAATGATACATTCCTAAATCATGTCGGACACAAAGTGTTGTTTGCTTGTCCTTGTCCAACTCTACCTCAAACCTGTTTTATCTTATGTCAACTATGATTTATAAGTCACCCATAATAAATAACGGAGAAAAATCTAAAAACGTAATTTTCTTTAAATGATATGATAGTGTAGTGTAGTACAGCTACTTTACTATTAGGAAGGGGTAGTTCCTTGGTTATTAGGTAGGGGTAATCCATTAGGTATATAAAGTTTACATATCTTAAGAAATTACGAAACAAGTTATTCCTACTAATATCAATCACTTATGTTGGCCGGATGCAAGTTAACAGTAGGTCTTCATGCTGAAGAGAACCAGACTACCTAAAGAAAACCAACGAGTTCGGGAAGGTGACCTGACGCTTTTCATGTCAAAGGGAATCGAACCCTAGTTGTCTTGGTGGGAAGGAATGCGTTATCAACTACGTCACCATACACTCATTATAGGTTACTATGAGGTATTCACTGATTTTATTATTATAACTAGGTATAACTATAGGTAGGGATATTCAAAGAATTCTTTAGGTATGGTAAGTCAACTAGCTTACTAGGTAGGACTAGTCAACTAGAAAACTAGGTAGGGCTCGTCAACTAGAAAACTAGGTAGGGCTCGTCAACTAGAAAACTAGGTAGGGCTCGTCAGCTAGAAAACTAGGTAAGGTTAGTCAACTAGAAAACTAGGTAGGGCTCGTCAACTAGGAAACTAGGTAGGGCTCGTCAACTAGAAAACTAGGTAGGGCTCGTCAACTAGAAAACTAGGTAGGACTCGTCAACTAGAAACCTAGGTAGGGATCCTCGATACACTAGGTAACTAGGTAGGGATAGTCTACTTGGTTACTAAGTAGCGGTAGTAACAGAGCAGTCGAACCCCGGCCGTCTTGGTGAGAGGGGAATGCGCTATCAACTGCGGTACATGACAACCTGATTATATAATCAGTAATGACCTTAAATAATACCTTAAACTTGATAACATATTGAGCCAAAGACTCATCAGCCATATGATCAAGCATATTTAAAGATGTACATTATATACAACAATGATAAAATAGTACTATGAATGGTAAGTTGGTAGGATATTTTTACATGTACATTTTAAATCCACAATTATCCCAGAAACAGTTCTAAATGGACGAGGACCCGAGCTTTCCAGCGTAGGGGGAGAATCCTACTAGCATGGTCAGCCCAGGTATTACAATTCAATTATACAACAGTTAGATAAAATAAAACCTTTGTATATATAAATACTACAAATATACTTGCACAAGCCGATAGATCATGAGCCGAATCCCTGTGTACATAATACTACAACTACATTTACATAGGTTTCTCGCGTGTCCTTGTGTATAAATACATAAACTCAAACGACACACTCACAGTCAGTGGGAGTATCGCCACTCTAACGATCGTTTACGTTAACAGCATGTTGATATTTATTGCTTGAATCGCGGCAACAAAATCGACGTTGCAGTGAAGCAGTATAGAACATGCAATGTAGGTCATTACAAAGTACTCTTGAAACATTTAGAACATTCCAGGTGCTGTGTACTTGATGTTTGTACTGAACCAAGTAAAGTTATATGTCTGATATCAAAATTGACTTTGTTTCTATGTAGCTGAAAAATTTACTCAAGATTGTCTCATTTGGGTTCCTCCCTACTAGACATGTCGAGTCTGTGTTTGTACACAATTAAAACTGGAGCTCTTTTGCTACCCGCATTAACATCATATACCAGAACAAGAAATTTCTTCTTGAAAATATAAAACTGTCTTAAAAATTAATTATATGATGTGTATTTACCATTACATGGTATACATGCTTTTTCTTGGTTAAACGGAAAGCTACTATCATTATATAACGACCATTCGCTTTAATATGATGCAGTTTTGCGATTATAAATATGAAGTGATTTCTGTTTTATATGATTAAAGGAATTCTAACCAGCTTAAGAAAAATCCGACGGAGAGACAAAGTTTTTCACAATGACATTTCAACCAGATGCTTAGAAAACAGAGGCGTAGCAAATGTTTTTTTTATCGAAGTGTATGCTTACATGAAGTTGAGCTCCGAGGCACGTTGCGCTGGAGGAGAGGGAGGGTATAAGGGGAGGTAGCTGGGGAAAAGTTCTACTAGGCCCTAGAAGCAATATTAGTAACACGGATTTTTGGCAGGGTATACGGGAATTCCTCGTATTCTGGGAAATCCTTTTAGTCTGATTATAAACAAGTAAAACCCAACTTCAATGTGTATAGAAATAACAAAAATATTTTGTTAGATTTTGTTAAAAATCATTATTCTTTCCTTTTTTTTATGATTGATACGGACAGGTTTTATAAAAAATAAAAAAAAATAAAAAAATCTTCAAAATTTTAGTGTGCGCTTGAACATACAAGAACGCATGTACGCTATGTCACAGGAAAACAACATGAAAAATTAATGATTGTTCACTAAAAATAAGAAAAGAAAATATATAAATAAAATGCCGTTCATTTAATTCTATCACATTTTCAGAATTTTATGGTACACAGTGACCGTATATCCAAAATTGATAATTTCGTTTAAAAGCAATTTTATATAACATATTGGTGTTTAATATTAATTCAGGAACAAAACCACTTCATGTGCCGAAACAGTAAAAATAAGGATCTTTAAGATTGAACTTCTTATGAAAAATTCGTTCGATGTGCAAAAAAGTCGTTTTCGAGTGAACAGTTCGTTTAAATTACCGAAGTACCATCTGGTAGCAATTTGATGATTTTTGTTGATAAAAGCTACATAAACAGCTTATCGGAGGTCTGTGCGTCGAACGTAAACATTCGTACATTATGTAAACTTTGCTCAGTACTTCGGCATGATTCTGCTTAGCTACAGAAGCCATGAAGAGTCACAGTATATACACATATGCTATCTAACATGTCTGACGTCTACCGCATTATCGGTATTTATGTTATATATGTGTCTTCACACATCAATATTAAACCTATTACATATAACTTACATAAATACCAAGAAAGTCCTGCGTTCCTTACATATTGATATTTAAATGTTTAACTATTAGTTGAAACCCGGACTTGGATATAAATCCTACTTATCGGTATATGCACGGAACCGTTCTGAGGGTGGACAAAAACCCATTACGATGTCCTTAAAAATGTACATTGGGTGATGATCTATATTATATGGCGATGATAGCCTTTTGGAGTTGAGCGTACGGACATATATACCACTGTTTACTTAGGAACAAATCTTAAAGCATCCAGCTCGGATGGGCTACATCTGTTTTTAAAGAGAACCCATACCAGTCAATAAAAAGAGATAATATTTTAGTGTTACTTAATTGAAACTATCAATAGAGTTTTCGGAGATCAAATATCCGTGGTGGACGAGATAAGCAGGTGTAGATCGGCTCCTTTCTGAACACCTTAGTGAGACAATGCACATTACTTGTCTTTTGTAGATACCATGTATAGTTGTAAAACAATTTGATTTCTAGATCTGTCGTGATGATTTCATCATCCAATCGATTGTACGATTAGGATTCAACAATATCATGGATCTAGATTTTGTAGATCCTATCTGCATATTATATTCTTAGTCCCTGTATATTTAGTCATGTTTGTATATACATAAATAAAAACGGTAAAGTAAGTAACAGCTTCACGCTGAATATGTATGTACAACCGTAAACCTTAAGAATGATGTCATTCATTTCGATGGAATAAATGACAACTTAGCATAGATCCAACAATGCTGATTTAAGGTAAAAATATCATGCAAAAAAAGACATGACGTTTCTTTACACTGTACATACAAGTTAGGGTGCTCTCAATCAGGTGATCGGGCAACGCTCGTACTCTCAAGAAATATCCAAATGAAATACGTGTCATTATCCTGAAAATTCGAACATTTTCTTCCAGATTTATCGATAATAGTGACTGCATGGACTTTTAAAGATGTATGTTAATTTTAATATTAAAGGATATGCATTATTACAAAATCATGTGATCAAATGTCTCTCTTCAGACGAAAACAATAATATTTTCAAAAATCAGTTTCACCAATGGTCAAAGTTCATGTTGTTCTTTTACAAGACAACCATGTGCATGCCTCATTGATGAGCATTAAACAAACGTTCTTCACACGATGACAATAACACAGATACTATTCAAAAGAATTACATCATAAATACAAAATTCAGTCAACAGTTTCTTACAGAACATTCCGAAACCAGATGCTATTATGTTTGTGCTACTTACCATGGCATCGTAACCTAGTTCCTTCATAAACTTGGCAGCAACTAATCCTTTATAATAATTGAACCATAAAGTACCCTGAAAGTTATCTCCGGCATTTAGGAGCACCGAGTGTGAAGGATACTGCTTCCTTAGATCGTTCACCTTAGTAACGCGTCTTGAAATACCGCCATAGCAAAGACCCGCATCTTTTTCTTTCTGTTTGCACTCAGAAGAATACTTGTTCATTTCCTCAACATGCGCATGAATATCGTTGGTGTGAATGACGGCTAATTCAAACGAACACGTTGCAAAATGAAAAAGGCACGAAAAACAGATTAACAAGACCGCGAGCAAACACCGCATCACTGATACACTTAAAATTTCCATAGTATAAGTAACGTGCAGTATCCAGTCACTTTTACAACGTACCGAATATTACACACAGAGAAAACCCGCAGTGTTTAGCAGCACGACAACTTCAGTTATGCTGATTTTCCGGGTTTATATGCTAGAGAATTGTACGGTAGTATGGTATACGTACAGATAAGACATGGCTGTGTCAAACTGTACTCAACAGTCGAATGAAGCTCCGCCGCAGTCACACCTTGTTACTAGAGGTTAGAATGCATGGTCACGTGTCAGTTGCTTGCAGTGTCATAACATTAAGTTTATGAGCACGAACACCTGTATCAATAGCAAGGTTGCTGTATCAATAATAAGGTATCTTCATCAATAATTAGATGACTGCCATCCGTACGAAGCTCACGACTCAACTCAGGATATCTTGTTTTGTAACAAAGTAATACCACAATTGACGAGTTCGCCTGTCTAGTGTGTTGACACAAAGTGATGCCACAAGATAAATGGACTCATCATAAATATTTCCTAACTGTGCTATCTGCATATGATGCTATTATGTACAAATTATGTCAGTCTTCACAATAACCTTATGCTGTGTAATTTTAGGAAAAGACTCCGGGTGTATGGGTCTCATGCCAGAAAGCTACGTACGTTAATTATTTCAATAATATTTTCACACTGGTTTTGATCTCCTGCTGAAATTGACCAATGGCTACGTATTTTGTTTACAAAGAAACGCGATACGAGAAACTGTGTGATAAACCGTGTTAGTGTGAGCTCTGGTAAAGTTTTTCAGCTGTTTTTCAGCTGTTCTGCCGTGAACAGCTGTTCTTGTTTCTCTTGCAGTTGAAAAAATGTTGCATTATCGGGGGTTTTAGAGTACAAATACAGGTAACTACCGAATTTAGTCGTGAAACTAAATATTTCTGGTTACGAGCTGTTATTTTGAGGATAGCATGTAGTTAAAATCCTAATCAGACAAAATCAGTTACGTAATACTTTTCCTTATCGATCGGCGACTTTGTGGTTCCCCCGGCCCATAGGCGACACTTTTGACGTTATAAATGTGTCTATCATTACCGAGTGTCCGACATATTACGTCATTATGTACCGTTATCGATGTAACTTGTAACGGACTTCAGGACCGAAGACTTGAGTTTAGAATTGTTTTTGTGAGGCCTCGTTAGGGATTTTTAAATGAATTTCCCCAACCTTGTTGCAATAAATTGGGTTTCCATTTTTTTTAATTATTAATGTTTTTTTATATTTCTTTCCTAGTTTAAATATATTTAATTTTGGAAATACGAAAAGCATCAATATTCAAACATTTTTTAAGCTATCGAAACTAACTTCGTCTGGTTCTGATGTCCTTGATCCGTTATGCTCCTAAATATATTACTCCAGTAAATTATGAACACAGGTAACAGGCAATGATATTTCGTGTAAGCCACATACATTCTTTACCTGGTATACAGCCTGGTCCTACAGCCATTAGATAAAATATTGTGCTAACATATATGCGGTCAAACAATATTGAATTTTAGCTAAGTTACATTACTTAGGAATCAAACGTCAATAATGGCTCTCCAAGAATAAGTCTCTCAAAAAAACATGTCACAATTCCATTTCAACAAACATGGTTTGGGGACTTATTGTTTTTATTTCTCTGTGTTCCTTTTTTTCTTCTTCTTCTTCAGCCATGAACTTGTCCAGAGGTTTTCTCAGAAACTGTTGAGCGGATCATCATGAAACTTCACACACATACTCATTAGAGTGTCTAGGTGTGCAACAGGCTATTTTTTTTTTATCGCGACCGGAAGTCCAAGATGGCCGCCAGAACCTTACTTCATGTTTTGGAGTTGTTGGCTCTGATTTCGTAGAAAATTGGTACATAAGGGTTTTCAGGGCTGCCGGAAACAATGGAAACAGTTTCGAACAGCTCAGTTGTCATGGTAACGAAATGGAAGCCTCTGATTGGTCGAAAATGGAGGCCTCTGACTGGTCGANCCCCCCCCCCCCCATTACAATTAGTACTAGTTATTATTATTATTATTATTACTATAATTATATACACGTTATGTCGCTGCTACGTTATGTGTGGACGATTACTTTTAGTTCATGATTTCTAGAGTATCTAAATAACATAATCATACAAACAACAGATAACATTTAGCACGAACATTGTAAATTCAGAGCTTTATAATGATGGAGGTTTATAACGGTGGAGGATATACTTTTTTATATATAGTTGTTTCAGATTCCCATCTATATTTTTTTTTCTTGTGTTAGGCGATGATAAAACTATGGTTAACATTATCGATGAAAACGAAAGGAACATATCTTTTACGTACGATGTAAACAAAAACATTTTTTGTTTTGGAATCTGAATGAATTTGATTAAGAAATACATAGAGATAACGCATGAACTATATGATGCAATTAAAGTGTGGAATAATGCTCGATTCGAGCATTGTAAACCTTCTATATAAAATACGCATAATCTACAGTGCTACTCAAAATAATTTCCAACACTGATACAATTCAATGATGACATGTCATTAAATATCCATTAGCATAAAAATAAAATCTAATTTGATCAACAAGTTTTGTGGACCGTCAGCTTCCATTGACATCGGTGGTGGAAAAGTTAAAAACCGGAAGGGAAAGCTAGCCATTATAATTGATTTTAAGGATTCCAATGATGATTAAGTTGGTCTGTTAGAATGGCGGTCAGAACAAGAAAGAGGACAACTGAGACATAACGATTTGGTATTTACTATATAGGTAGGAAGAGAGGGACTAGGGTCAGGTCAAACACAAAATTGTTAAAGATATTACATAATTATGTAATGCAACAAAATATGCACAATGAGATCCTGAAGGAGGAAGTCACTAGGAATGTAAAATAGTGGAGATTGTAAGCCAAGGGAAGTTGACACGATGAAATCGAACAAGAGAAACAACGGATGAAGCTGAAGTTGGTTTCCGTTCCGGTTAAACAACTAGAGAACTAATACTTATAAGTGTCAACTAAACTTAAATTCTAAAATCTTGGGCAGTATATCAATACGGGAAAGATTAACGTGAAGGACATTGAAAAAAAACACCAAGATGATCCGGGAGTAAATCCATTGTTAGTTTAAGTAAAATTAAAGTAATGGCACGTCATCAAAGCGACAACCGGGACAGCATTTACATATTGCGATTTTTTTTTTTTTAATAAGGATTATTTGTTTAATTATCGTGTCGCAGCGCCCAGTAAAGTATTTATTGAATACCACGGTACCTCATTAATAACAGCCCTTAGATCTCAGAATTTTGTACCCGAAATTTTGTAACAAGTGAAATAGCACTCATGCGGTAAACATCTAAACAGTTAAAATGTTTATGACTTTCGTAGCCTTCATAATTTATTTCACGCACGTCAGCTTGGCCACCACAGGTCGTATTCATCATGTTTGATTTGTAGGTTTAAATGTTCCCATCTCTTTGCTAACTCTGATATCCCAATCCTTCAGTCCATAACACACATACATTAAATATACCACCAAGAGGAACACCTCCTATGTAAATATTCGTGATATATGAATATGCGATACATTGTATATTTGACAAAATTTTACAACTGATGGAAAACACACATGATAGTTAATGTTAGGTACACGCCACTTGGTGTGTTCTAATGGAGTGTAGTAAATACAGCGTTTTGCAGTGTACATGTATATACACACATAAACACATATGTTTATCCTCCCTCGAACATTAATTTATATTCATATCATCGTGACACCTGTTGACTCTTTGTTAAAAACTCAAAATAGTCGTTAATTGGATATTTTATCTCCATATATAATAGTATAGAAATTCTAAGTTTGACACCTATCCATCTAGTGTACATGTATTGATCACATACATCTCCATATAATTGAATACGTATTACTGCATGCTAACTAGTATGCTGGTTGAAAATAGTATAGAAACCTATACATATATTAATTGTCATTATCTAGGTAAGTGGACTGAGATCATTTTATGTCTGTATGAAATCTATCATCACCTTCTGTAAATATATATAACTATTTTATAATATGTTTTCATCGTCAGTTCCAGAGTGACAGCTGGGCTGGTGGTATGTGGACAACGTGTACTTATAAGATGCCTCTGATTTTGAACGTCGGACTTGATGCAAGTCTCACTGTAGAGCACGATACAGTTGGTATAATCATGATTAGCATGGTTAAGCAATAGCGTAGTGAAGAATAGTAACAAAGTAGAAGGATAACTAGCATGTTCAAAGCATACTGAACTTGGCATAGCATAAGACAAATTTAACATGGTAAAGAATACATAACATAGTAGAAGAAGAATAACTAACATGGTCAACATACTGAACGTGGGTAAAGCATACTTAACAAAACTTTCTTAAAATGGTAAAAGCATAATTACTATAGTTAAAACATACTTGTTAAAAACAATTGACATGCATTGCAGATAAATAAGCTTCGTTAAGCATTCCTAATGTAGCAAAGTCATACTTAACCAGTCAACAAGGTTACAGCATACTTAACAAGGAAACATACCTTACAAAAGGTTAAATCCTACAGCACGTGGTAAAAGGATAACTTACACGTTAAAAGCATACTTGATATGTTACAATCTTAATACTGTTAGATATATTCAACCTCCATATAATATCGGTCAGGAATAATAAAGAAAGCATAATTAAATATAGGCTGTGGATCTGAACAAATTAATATTTGCCTGATGTGCAAAAATAATTGCCACATTGTGTACATCAATACTTTGTGAAGATTGTCCACTCTTTGTCAGGACACATTAAACATTACACAAAAACAAACGACAAAGAATGACTTTCAAATGATATATATGTCAATGTGTATATGATGCAAAACAATACAACCAGACGCTATGGAGTGGAGAAGACGATGATGATATATGACAACGCACGAGACGTTTAAATCAAATAGTCTGGTTAGTGAAGCTATACATGTATCTGCATATTTATACATGTATTGAACGCTCTAATAATATAACTGCATTAATCGATTGTTTGTATCAAATGTATTTACATAACGAGGGCGCTACTGAGCCTGAAACGGTGAAAGACTATGAAGAGTAAATCACATGGGAAATGTATTTTACCGACGATAATTTGATGCCGTCTGATGTCCGCATCATTTATTGAAATGGTATATGTACAAACACGTTTAAAATTCCATTT